CTTTTAAAAAAAACGAAAAAATTAGATTTGTAAAAATTAGAGACTAAAACGAAAGGAAAAAGATATCTTGCGCATAATCTCTCTCCTCACTCAGATCGCACACACACACACTCACACACACACACACACACACACGCACACACACACACACACACACACACACACACACACACATACACCACTACACACACACATACACCACTACACACACACACACACACGCACGCATGCACGCACACACACACACACACACACACACAAACACACATACAACACTACATACACAAATACATACACACATATAACACTAAGCTACACACACACTCACACACACACAACACTACATACACACTTTCAACACTACACACACACGCACACACACACGCACATACAACACATACACACAAACAGGCACACATACATACAACACCACACACACACACACACACACACACACACACACACACACACACACACACACATACGTGTTTTGAGGTCATTGTGTGGACATTGCCCCAAACCTACATTGTGTGGACACCCCATATCATCCAAAGTTATCAATGGAATCAATCAATATTTGCAGTGTAAGTCCACTATACAAAAACATCATTGTCCACCAAATTTCAAGAAGCTACCTAAATTTTTAGTCCAGTATGTTTTTTTACTAACGTTAGTGGGACATTGCATTATGTGGACTTTACGACCTCCTGACCTTTTGCACAATGGTACGCAAATGGTCCATTATTCTGTCCCCAGAAAAATTCGCTCCCGCAACCCGCAAGTTGCGCGCGCAACTTTTGCCGTCAGCGCAACTTTTGCGCAACTTTTGCGCAACTTTAACGATTTTCGTGAATTCGCTAATTTTAGCCAATTTCCCGCAAAATTCGGAAAAATAATAAAATTTCATAAAAAACACCGAAATTTTCTTCCACGACTAAAAATAACGTCGCCAAGGGGGGGCAATTCGCTTCTTTACACTTTGAACTAGCCTACGGCGGGTGCCCGCCGCCGCCCAGTGACCCGGGTCAGGTCGGGTCGGGATGATCGCCCGACTCGTCGCCTGAAAACAACGTGTTTGTTTTGAAACAACGAGTCGGGCGCGATCGACTTGTGCCACGATAGCCGCTTTGCACCATCAACTGTCTAGCAGACCGACCCAATAGTCTTGTTTGGACTAGTCTAGCTAGAATAAATCGATAGGAAACACGGTCGTCTGATTACTTAGCTTGCTTTGTTCCGTAGCACCAGGGTAGATCTAGTACACATATATAAACATTTGTGAAAGACTTTAAATCTTAGGCTAAGGAGGGTAGATTAAAATGAATCATCCAGAAAACCCGTAAAGGGAAAATAATATCATCTTAAGCCAGGAAAAAAAAGAGGGGGGGGGGGGGGGTGTGTCGCAGGAAAGAGTAAAAAAAGTGTAAGGGCGGGAGGAGGGGGGGGGGGCAAAAATTCCCAAACAAGGTGTAAGATTTTATTTGAACAGCCCCAAAACAACGCCGGCCACACCTGCCCAACGTCAGCGAGAGTTAAGGACCTGACGAATGTGTCAGCGGCACAGAATTCTACACTTAGTGTAGAATTCTGTGGTCAGGGGACAAACTTTTTTTGTACTACAAGCAATTTTTTTTTTGGGGGTAGACATTCACATTTAACTTTTGATTTTGATCTAACAAAACTCATATTGGTTACTTTTGATTGCAATGAGCGTAGCAACAATACAATGTATTCCAATAGTTCCGTGGCATTGTTTTAGCTATACATACGCCTTGCAACTTTTGCTACTTTTTCTTGCAACTTTTTGCAACTTTTGCTATTTTCAAATGCAACTTTCTCTGAGGACAGATTTTTTAGACTTCCGGAGCATAAAAGGTTTTTAAAGGCTTTGGGTGCCTCTTATGTTTATTAATTCACACATGGGTTGGGGATATATAAATAGACTCGCTGTCCCTGGGATCCATGAGCAACATCTTCTTTGGTGCATTTTCCTTTTCTCCATCCTTCTTTCTCCTTCCCCTTCTTCTATCATTTCTTCCACCGCTTACCCCGTGTGCAGCAAAACTAGAGGTCGTCCATCCCACAGAATGGGCGCCTCGTTGACCGTGGGGTGCGACCTGTGGAAACCGGGTAACTGGCAGTTGAAGTGAGATCAGTCTGCGGACTGTCCCTCGCCAACACACCTCTTTGACCCACTTTTTCCTTTTAGACGGGAGGGTGGGACGGTCTATTACACTCAATCGATTTGGAGCTGAAGCCCCTCCAGTTTTTCCTTGGGTCAATCTTGATGGGACGATCTAGTACACTTTCGTGGAGAGTATAACTCCGGAGTAGCTCTGGCTCAGCTCTGGTCATCCGAGCAATGTTTCCTCTGTTTCACTCAGTGGTGGGAGGGGAGCCCCGGAGTTGAAAAGCATTCCAACACACATTGAATCCCCAAAAACATTTTGACCCATCCCCAGTCCCCAACGATACAAAAAAGTTTCGACTCGTAGAAGCGGGTGTAGCCACCGAGCCGAGCAGACAACCAGGAAAACCGACCTTAACGGCTGATTGTGCTCTCCCTCCTCCCAGGGAGCTTCCGGGGCAGCCGTACTTGACCATCCGCAATTTTGATGCACAGAAGAAGATCACAGATCCAACCCTTTTCACGACAGGAGATGCTTTAAAACAGACACTGGGATACATCCCAGCCAACGTCCAAAAACTGTCTTCTGGTGCACTCCTTGTATACGAAACAGAAATAACTGGACCCCTGTATCTCACGACCTTCCATGGTATTCCTGTGAATCTTGGAGACACAAGAAGTACAACTGCTTGAAGAGCGTCGTCCGCAGTCATGAGATGAAAGGCTGCTCTTCAGAAAAAAAATTGTGGCTATATTGTGAGGGTGTGGTCGAAGCCCGCCAGATGACTCTTCGGCGGGGCGAGACCGCCCTTGAAAGGAACACAATTGTTTTGACTTTCGATTCATGCTGCCTCCCCAGCCATTGTTCGGGCAGCATACTTGGTCCTGGACATGCAACCCTAAGTGCAAAACGCTCCGCGCTGCTTCAAGTGCCAGAAGTTTGGCCGTGGCCAGTCGTGATGCCGACACGCAGACGTGTGTACTCGTCGTGGCAAGACCGGGCATCCTGAAAAGGTATGAAAGGCTAGTCCTTTCTTTCGTTCACAATTGCCACGGCCAACACTTGGTTCCAAGAAAGCACCATCCAAGAGTACAAAGGGCCCGAAATGGCTGCTCATTTCAGAAGCCTCGAAAGACTGTCTACCCGACAGTTATGACCCCGGTCCCTGGTCGGTTAAACGCAAAGGCAGTCCAGTCCGGCTGGTCTCGTGATCAGCCAGTACTTCTACTGCCAAACTCAAAGAGCCCGTGGTCAACAGGCGAAACTGCAATAAAAGCTAAGAAGGTCCCTCCTACTCCTGTAGTAACCACCTTCGAGGGGCCACTCGCCAACTGTTTCAGAGTTCTAGGGGAGGACGAGGTGGACTCTTACTCAGCCCCCTCTTCTTCTCTCTCCCCACGCCCCACCCCTCTGATGGTGTGTGAGGTGCCCCCTCCCCCTCATCCAGCCCCTCCTCCTTCTTTCCAACTCCCTTCGCCCTACCTACCCTTACCCCTCCACCAGATATCCCCTCCCTTTGGAAGATGACACCTCCGGTCCG